TTGATACCTAAAAGGAATTTCTCTGCTGCATTTTTTGCTTTTCTAATATTTTGCAGTGCAGTAATAGTGCTTATTCAAAATTTTTGGATCTTCATATTCTGAAACCAATCAAAAACTTCGTGAAGTTAGCGAAGGGCAATTTCTTTATATTTTATCTTATCTGCGTGGCTAATATTTCGTGAATTTAGTTTCAGAGGTTTTGGTTTATTTATATTTTAATGCAGGAAAGTCTTCTAGGTTAAGAATAAGAATTTCTATAGTACCGGCGTTTTCTTTTTTGAATTTAGGACAAATTTCTTCTGATATTTTTTCCAACCTCGGTAGCTGCTAACATGTTCGTCTCCGCAGAAGCAGCATGCTGTTTTATTTTCCGGATATTTTTTTACTTATTACGTGCTCCGCCCTTAGGCACTACATGGAAAGGGAGGGATGCCCTGTGGAGGTCTTTTTAATGGAAACTGGCTCGTATTCACGTTACACACGGGGAAAATAATGAAAACGCCCATTTAGCCGCCAGCCCTTTCGTCGGGTCTCGAAGCCTTCACCGAACTACCAGTGTTCAGCGACTTTTACCGCTCGGCCGCTGGTGGGCTTCGGAATTTTTGAGGCAAAGAACACTTCTGTACCTTTTTCTGTACTCACAGGATTTTTCTGAATTAAAGCAAAAGCGTTGAGTATCTCCATACTCTTGGCCGCGGTAGCACTGAGTCGGAGGTTTCTTGGGGTGTATTTTTATATCAGAACATTTACATTGAACGTATTATTTAAATAAAAAATAGCATTTCCTTCTGGGTTTCTTTTAAGTTCTAGAAAGTGTGCGGGAAGTTTCCCGTAGTTATTTTTGCTGGGTTTTCTTAACTAGCGAAATTTTGCAGTAGGGAATTTTCTTCTATTTGAATCTTCGTAAACGGCATCTTCTGGTATGGGATTTGGGAGTTTTTTTAATAACAGTTCTGTCATTTCTTTCTGAATTTAGTTGATAGGCTTGGAAAGAGTTCTTCTGTCTTATAATTTGTCAATCATTTAACGGTAATCGTTAACATTCTTCACGTGAACAAAAATAATTTTTTTTTCATATCGGTTTTGAGAGGGGTCTAGCAATTTTTGGTAAATATAGCATTGATAGCTAACCAGTTCACATTTTCTTATGCGAACGCGATTGGAGGGGTTTTATAAACTTCTTTTACAGAGTTTCCTAAATTTCCTTCGCCATCACGGGGAGCATATCTGCTGTGTTCACATCTCCTCTTTTGCGAGATTTCTTTTACAATATTTTCAACACTTTTACATTTGCCTGATTTCCTGGAAGTTGTCCATTTGTTTAGAAGATGTTCATTATATTTATTTGGTATATCCTTCTGAGTCGCAGCTGCTGGTTCTTTAAGGGCTTAGGTATGGTTAGAGAACTGTTTACTGAGCATTTCTATAATATTGTTCCTAGCGGGTACATTCAGAGATTTAATTTTTTCGGCCTCAACCGCAGCAGTTTCAAATGATCGTTTGTATTTCATATAATTGAATTCCTAATTAGTGAGTTCCGGCTTTGTTTAAAGCAATTCACTTTTTACTTCCTTGTACGAAGTAAAGAAAGTGTTGTAATCGCGAAAAATTTCGGAAATCACATTTCAACGAACGTATCCATTTTCACCGATCTCGAATCCATTTGAACAATGTTTTTGAGTGACATCTGTATGCACAAACAGAATAATGGACTCGTTTTCCACAAAACGGAACTTAAAATGGATTTTAAATGGATTCAAAAGAGATTTTTTTCGCGACGTCTGTACGTGCGTTTGTATGTATGTATCTGGCATAACTCAAAAACGAGTAGCCTTAGAACGTCGAAATTTTGTATATGGTACTGCTATAATATGTAGTTGTATACATCGCTTTTTGGGTTTCAATCGGCGGCACCAAACGTATATATTTATATATATAATTATATACCCAATCTCTTAATCGGCTCGTTGAGCTCAGTTATTTTTTATTCTTATATGTTGGTAAATCAGGCATTTTTTATTTTAAAAAAGTGACTGAATTATGTTGTTCTTATAGTCTTGTTGAAGTGGTTTATGTCTTTTGTTAATTTGCATGCAATAGTTGTAGAATTGCCTAGAATTTTAAAATTAGTTTGAGTGGTACTAAGCCTAGCGAGGCCACCATTTGCTTACATTTGAAACTCCATGTACAACGGTGAATTAAGTCAGTTTGTGCACCAACTTTAGTGTCTTTTCTTGAGTGGAAGCAAAAGTAAACTTCCAGTTTTGTGTGTGTGTTGGGGGGGGGAAATCGCTTTTCTTGCCCGCTGGCCAAATTGCTTGTTTTTGTTTACAAATTTTAATTGTAAAAATTGTTTTTTTAAACTGTTTTTAACTGCATTTGGTGTTTTATGATTTTCTGCATTTTACAACTTTTAATGAAAAGGGGTTGAATTTTTATGTATTTTTGCCTTACCGCGAAGTGAGAACTGAATAATTTGCATAAGAAATACATTTCTGATGAAATTTGAAGAAATAAGCTTCAGTGAAATGCAGCAAAAATGTGTATAATTTAATATTCCGTACAAAGAAGTTAGGTGGTGTCGGTATCAGATACTTTTTTTAGAGTGGTTTCTTTAGAGTTCACTTGTGGGAACAGTTGACACGTCGGGAAACGTTTCCAACTTTTCAGGTGAACTGAAAGCTCTTTACAGCGGTTTCCAAACCTCGAGGGCCTCACTTAAGTTCCAATTTAACGGGAGAGATTAAGCGGAGTATTTTTGAACCAGTGTCATCATTCATGACACTATATTAATCATATAGCCATCTGCTGATGTATTCCATGGAAGAGTGCCCTTATTTGGTGGTTTTCTGGTCATAACGAGAAGGAGCAAAATGCAATACTTACAAACTGTCAAGTTGCGATCTTCCCGTATTCTCTGTTCCCCGAGAAATTTCCAGTACCTTCGATTTATCAAAATTTTTCCAAGGCATGCACCGTTACACAGCACAGCATCGGAAGAGTTACTTTACACAGGGACTGGTTAAAAATGTCGTCAAATGATTGGTAAGCTTGGCGACTTTTAGGGATTTTCCTCTATATTCGGAGAGATAGCATTTTACCTCAAGTTGATTTATCACTGGAACCCTATTTTTCTGCCGATGATTCGTATTCTGAAGCCCTTGACAAGAGGTACTACAATTAACATTTATTTTCACCAATATTATTTACATGTAACAAAATTCGTAAGAATATACGTATGTATTTCCGAACAAAATGCAAACATTCGTAAATGAAAGTGACTGAAATTCGTAACTTCTTACTGCAAATATTCTTAACGTTTGATAAGTGTAAAAAAGGTTTAATCAAATTTATATTTTCGAATTTTTTAATAAGCTTTACATGACAGTGTAAATTGATTAGCTCAATCTGTAAATTTTCTGAAGACTTGCTCACTTTTATATCCTTGTACGAAGTAAAAAGGAAGTATTGTAATTGCGAAAAGTTTCAGGCAGCATATTTCAACGAAAATATCCATTTTGACCGCTATCGAATGCAATTTAACGATGTTTTTCCGTGATATCTGTACGTAAAAACAGAATAAAATACTCTTTTCCTCCAAAAAAATTATAAAACTGCTTTAAAATGAATTCTGAAACGAATTTTTCGTGGCGTCTGTACGAACGTATGTACGTATGTACGTACGTACGTATTTCGCATAACTTAAAAACGAGTAACCTCAGAAAGTTGAAATTTTGTATATAGGACTGCTATAACATGTAGATGTGCACCTCGTATTTTGGTTGCAATCGGCCGCACCAAACAGGTATAAATATATTTATATATATACATATCCACTCTGCTAACCGGCTGAGTGATCTCAGTTTCTTTACTTTTATATGTTTATAAATTGTACATTTTTTTGCTGTAAATGATTGAATTATGTTGTTCTTATCTTCCGGTTAATGTTTTATGCCTTTAGTAAATCTGTATGCAATATTTTTAGAATTATCAACAATTTTTAAAGTTGTTTAAGTGCCGCTAAGCCTAATAATGTTTTGATGGCGGCCATGTTGTTTACATTTGAAACAGCAGGATAGTGCATTCGTTGCCATCTAGAGAAACTAAGCTAAAGAAAGATAACGCCTTCATATTATTGAGAATTAAATATGTTTATCCTTTCTGGAATTTTTCGAGTAAATAAGTGTTTAAGATTTACTTCGTAATTTTTAATACAGATATTTTGAGTTTTCATGGATTTTTGCCTTGTCGCGAAGTGAGAACTGAATAATTGACTGAGAAATACCAATCGTCTGAGAAAAATGTTTCTTTTTTGCTTTGTTTGCTTAATTCTTTTATACATCGTCTAGCTTATTTTATTAAATAGAATTTAAATAGTAGCTTTATTATTTAAATAACTTTATTATTTAAATAGTCTTTAAATAGTATTTGAATAGAACATGTGGCAAAGATTAGATAATTCTTCAAATGATATAAATTTTGTGCATTCTGAGTTATATAATATGAACGAAACATATTACTGTTAACTGAACCTAGCTAGAGTGTCGGTATGGTAAACAAATATAGTGAATTTTAAAGAGTGCATTTATTCTATTGTGGTTTATGCGCTGTCGACGAAGTAGATATAATTTAATCCAATAAGTTTAAATTAAATGCCAGAAAAATGCGTATAATTTAATATTCCGTACAAGGAAGTCATGTGGTGTACACATCAGATTTTTTTTATTGCTATGCAAATAATGCAAAATTGGAATCAGAATCATTGTCTCAGAAAAATTGGACTCAGAATTAATGTCATAATAATACTAATTATCCTAAGGGACTCGCGAGTTACATAAACTTGCTTAGGAGACCACCAATTTGACACCGCTGTACTAAGATTGTTCTCGAATCATTATTAAACTCTTTTTTCATCTACATAATTTTCTCATATTCTTCTAAAAACTTCTGTAGTTCAGTTCACCAATCTAACACCTAAATTATGACATTTTCCCTTCTAGATCTTGGAAGAAGACTCCTTTGCAATGAAGATCAGAGATGCCTTTCTAGTCACGTTTCTTCTGACAGGTAAGACGAAATAAATATAGATTATAAAAGTCTGAAGTAGAATGGAAGTGTGTTGATTTTGATTGAAACATTTTTACAAAGTTCATTATGATTAAGTTAATTGAGTAAGGCCAATTAATTCGAGGGCTATCTGCCTATGGAAAGGGATGCCTTCGTGGAGGATTTTTTTAAAGTAAATTTGTTCGTATCTATGTTACAATGGGGAAAGCTATGAAAATCACCCATGCATCTAACCTCTTCGCTGGAATTCTATCCCAGGTCGAACTACCGGTGTCCAGCGATGTTCTCGTTCGGCCGCTGGCGGGAGCATATATTTTTTCTCACTTAATATCTACATGTCTTTCTATCAGATTTATTATAGATGATGAAAGTGAACTTCATTACATTTAAAATTGTTTTAAAATAGTGCGTATTGTTGTAATACATTAAATATTTAAAATATCAAATACATTTTCATCTCATTCTGAGGGTTTTATCAAATTTGCGTAACTTACGAGCACTTCAAACGAAGAAATTATTTTTATCGTATTGTTACAAAATATCAAGGCGCGGTAAGGTAGCATCCCCGCAACACAAGTTTAGGGTTGCCATGAAATGGCAAGAGACGGCAGGGTAGAGAAGGCAGGGTACTCTAGACATTTGGCGACAAAATTGGCGGTATGCCATGGATGGATGGAGAAGCTTTTGGAACGAATTTTTACCGGTTTAGTCTAGAATGCTCTCGAACACAAACCAAAAACTATATAAACCGTGCTGGTACGCAGAAGTGTCTAGAGTGCGAGATAGTTTCGAGTTAGTTAGTCCGTGCGGAGTCGATGGAGTCGACAGCGAGTGCAGATGGGTAGTCGGGGTATCGAAGAGTTCTTAGTGTATCGGGTTGGGATCGTGCGAGAAGTGCGTTAGACGGAAAGGAGAAAAAGGAGGAGGGAGCTGTGCTCTGTGTGTCTCCAGGCATAGCGGGAGGGGTGGAGATTCGAGAGTACGTGGAGTCCGAGAAGACGAGCAAGTCGGGAGCGTACTCTGGTGCTTTCAGTGAAGCGTTAACCTTTATGCCTGAAATGGGAAGGTTGTGTGCTGGTTGTGTCAGCGTGTTATAGTGTCTTCGACGACTGTAACGGATTTGGAGCTGTCCTGTTATACTGGCTAAAAAAGTGTGTTTCATATTCATTAAGTGATGTCGCTGTTATCACTCCAAATCCCACGTACCCCGTACGAATGAAGGAAGAAAAAAACGTAATACTGGAGTCAGAACAAACGCAACAACTGGGCAGAAGTGGGATTGCGAGTGAAGCCAGTGACCCGCTCAGAAGGAAAGCCATGCGAAGCCGGTTGTGCTGAGATAGGCCGGATATGATGAGGATAAATGTGGATATGAAGAGAGACAGCTATATGAAAGCTGGCGAGAAGAGATGAAAGCCAGCCGAGAAAAGGTGCGAAAGCAGCTCCAAGAACTGAAAGTGGAGCTTGCAGAAGAAACTGGAGCCATAAAGAGAAGATGTGGAAATGACAGAAGTGGCACCTGAAGAATCAGAGGATAAAGAAATGAAGGAAATAGCTGTTGAAGTATCCAGAAAGCTAATGAAATAAAAATAATTAAAATGCTCGCAATGAATTTAGATATACGTATATTTTAATGAGATGTTATCTAGCCGACTGGAAATGAAGCAGAAGTTTACTAAAATTGCTTAACTCATTCATAACAAATATTCATTCTGTTCTTTTGTTGTAAACAATTGGTAACGAAACAAATGCGTCGAACTGTGACCGTTATTTCTGTGACCTGGGTTAAAATATTGCTTTGCGGCTGAGGTTAAAGCAATGCAGATGCAAATGAAAAGGTAATACAACTTAAGTATCGATTATCCGGATGCTGATGAGCTGGTTTTAAAATTATCCGTACGTGTCTCAAAGCTATGAGCGAGAGTGTGCAAAAAAACCAATAGGCACATGTCCTATTATGGAGAAAGATTCTTCCTAATATAGAAATCGAAGATTTATGTAATTATGAAGAAGTTGATGTAATAACTGAAATTTTATGCTAAAAAAACTCAAAATATAAAATTCTTCGAAAATGTCGAACAGGAAAACATCGAGGAATGATTCGATGGCGAGTCGACTGGAGTGGGCTTTCAAGATTCGAGTGATGCGGATATCGTTTTTAATGTCATAAGAACAGAAAAGGCAGAGAGTGATACTGAAAATACAAGAGAAAAATAGTATACTGACAAATACAATAGTTTCGATATAGCAATAACTTCTGGTCGCGAGAAGAGGTTTCGAATACAATAATAAAGTAGTACTTCGAAAAATATGTAGTGAAATTCGACAAATATTTAAACGTCCTCAAAAACATAGTAAAGTTACTGATCTTTTAAGAAATAAACACATAGAGTAGGCATGAAAATTTATAGTTTGGATTACCCGTGTTTTAGAGTTATCCGTGACCTGCTCTCCCTGCATTAGACCAGTAACAGAAAGTACATTGTGCAATTCTTTCTATGGAAAATGAACATTGAGGCTTTTAGTGATATCGCTGTCTAATTGCAAAATGAAATAAAAAACAGAGAAAGAAAGAGAAAAAGAAAAGAAGAGCAAAATGAGAGATCTATCTATCTGTTATGAGTTTTGTTTTCGTAAGAATACCAATAATAAGAACTGAAATTAAGGTATCTGCCTACGTTAAAAAAAACGATTTTGGCGAAAAAATTAGATTTTTTTTAATGCCCAATTTGAAAGGTCAGTTTTGTAGGATTCCAAAAATGGTTCATTTTTTATGTTTACGATAATTAGAAGAGAAGATATAGCCAATTAACTGCACCGGAAGTGAAAGCAGAAAGACCGGAAGTGCCATTTAAAGGGCTAAACTTAAAGGTAAACAATGGTGTATCCGTGTTTTTTTTTAACCTTGTATGTAAATTGTGCTAAGACATTTCATTTTAATTCTGGGTACTTTGTTTTGTTTCTGGCAATAATTATTTGCCTTATTTTTAGAATTGGGACTGGCAACACTGCGATTTTTCTTTACATTTGTTCCATGCTTGTTCTTCGTTGCTACACGCATATTCACGCTTTATTTTTGTTTAATTTTTATAGTTATCTCTTTGCTTCTTTTATTTATTTTCTTTTGAACATTTGTCGAATTGTTTTAAGTATTCTAAGATGCCAAAAGCGAGATCTAAGAGAAGTAAAAAGCGATCTTTTTACGGTAACCGTTATACAACTGGTACTCGAACTGTTTGTGATAATGATGTAACAACTGCAAGCTCATCGAAATTAAAAACTTTGGAATTTACAGATGTTATGACTGCAAAGAATGATCAAGACTTAAAAGGAAATAGAATATTTGATATTATAAAATTGCTTCTATCTTTTCTATTCTCTGCTGTCCAGTGTGTTTCAAAACTGGCTTGGAATTAGTAGAAGATTCAAAATTTGGAACTTTGCTCAAACTTTAGCTTGAAATGCAAATGTGGATTTATAAAAGCATTTTCTTCAACTCCCAAAATGGAAATAAGAATATTTTAAATTCTTTCTTGGTGCTTGTATTAAGACTTATTGGAAAAGGTTACACATCTGGTAAAAAGTTTTGTTGTTTACCTTGAATTTGCCATTCATATCAAAAACAGCATTTAGGCAGCATGAAAGCAAATTGTTTAGAAGCTGTAAAATATGTATCTAATCCAGAACATGAAAGAAGCTGCCAAAGAAATTAGAAATTTAAAGAAAAGTACAGCCTTGTGGTGTTTCTGTAGATGGTACTTGGCAGCGTCGTGACCATACATCACCCGAATGGTTGTGTATCTGTCATTTCTATTGACACACGGTAAAATTTTAGACTTGGAAAAGTAATGTATCAGGTATTGCAGAATATGTAATGGCAATTATACAAAAAGTGATCATGTATGCTCGAATCATAAGGGTTGAGCTGGGAATATGGAAGTCGTCGGAACGTACCGAATATTTGAAAGATCGACAAAAAGTCGGGAATTGCAGTATATTGAGTATTTTGGAGATGGAGATTTCATAGCGTATATGGAAGTGAAAGACATTTATGGAAAAGACTCGGTTAAGAAACTAGAGTGTATCGGTTATGTCCAAAAAAGAGTTCGTACCTTTTGCGAAAATTGAAAAAAACCAAAAAAGGGTTAGGTGGGAAAGGCAAATTAACGGATAAATTTATTGATAAATTACAGAATTATTACGGAATTGCTATCCGAAGCAACGTAGGAAATTTACAAAGTATGCAGTCGGCAGTTATTGCTGCATTTTTCCATTGTTGTTCTAGCAAGAAAAAAGAAATGCATGGACAGTGCCCAGTAGGAGCAGACAGTTGGTGCAGGTATCAAAGAGCACTACATAACGGATTGAAAATTTCAGAAAAAAATCCAGGTCTACCTGAATCTGTTTTGAACATTATCAAGCCTACATATATGAGTCTATGTGATAAAGGCTTACTCTCAAAATGTTTGCATGGAATGACTCAAAATTGCAACGAAAGCTTTAACAATGTATTATGGACAATCTTGCCGAAAGAAACTTTTGTAGGTATAAAGACTATGTTGCTGGGTGCATATATAGCAGTTTTAATTTTTAATTCTGGGTATCTTGGATTACTTCCTGTGTTTGAACATTTAGGTTTATCAATCGAACAAGAAATGATTAAAAATTACTTTGGAATTGATATGAAAGAATAAAGAACTCGAAAAGCGTCATTCGTCACTCATTTCGAAAATAGCCAGAAAAAAATTAAAATCAAATAGGAAATCAAAATTACTTAAGTATGAAGATATGGAGGAGTGATGTACAAATGTGGAGAATTTTAAGTGTGTAAATGCAACAGAACAGTTTTTTGTTAATGTGAATCTTAAATGCGTTTTCTGAAAACTAATTTTTGTAGTGTTTTTACATGCAAGAAATGTAATTACTCAAATGTTCTATAGATATCTATGAAATTTCACTATAGTGTTTCTCTATATTGTTACTAGGTTTTCAGCTAATCT